TTACATCAAACATGCCCCTGTAATTTGGAAAAACTATCAAACATGCCCTTCAGTTAAAATTTCCATTGAAAAAATCGCCAATCATGGTTGAACCAAGATTTAAACGACCTGACATCGATAAATGGGAGGGGAAATGTCAGTTTTGACCCTTGCTTTATTTCTCTAGGTCTCATCAAAGTGAAATTATTAGAATTATTTGGCTATACAAAAAAACAAAAAAAAAACTCTAAAGTGAAATTATTAGAGATATTTTAGATATTTGGGTCGCCCAAACCAAAGTTCGGTCTTGGTTAACGATTTTTGGATGGAAATCTTAACAAAAAAGCATGTTTGATAAGTTTTCCAAAGTACAAGGGCATGTTTGATGTAAAAAATAGTAGAGAGGCATGTTTGATAAAACGTCATAGTAGAGGGGCATATTATACCTATAACCCTACAAATAATCATATTAGACCCCCTCCCAGGACCCATGGATTGTATCAAAGGAAAGGGAACTTGAGTTATGTGATCCACCGGCAAACTTTCCCACTCCTCACATTGTTGGTTAAATTGGTGCATCAAGGCAGGGATCCCAATCTGTTTACCCTCAAAGACAACCCAGTTACGGGACCTCCAAATCCTTCAGAGGACAGCAATAATCGACATGAAAAGAGAAGGTTGATGTATTAAGGACATCAACCTTTTTAGGAACAGTGGGAAAGTATGACGAGGTAACCCTTGCCCAAGATGCTCTAGACCTGAGTAGTCCCAAAGGGCGCGTGCCACTAGGCAGTCAAGAAACAAGTGTTCCATTGTTTTCGAGTCACCCCAACACACCGGGCATCGAGGAAGTAGAGGGACATCCTTCTTAATGAGGGCTTCAGTAGTTGGTAGGATTCTATGAAAGATTTGCCAAACGAAAACTTTCAATTTGGGCGGAATATTGGCCTCCCATAAACGAATCCAACTGGCCCTATCCGTCCAGCTAGCCATAGACCTCCAACGACCATTCCGCTTATCAAGAGAGACAACAAAATGGTAGGCTGATTTAACAGTGAAAACCCCGTCAGTCGTGTCATGCCAGATAAGTCTATCCTCCACATTCTGACGCGGAAGAGGGATAGCTTTGATGGCTCGGCACATAGGTGGATCAAACCACTGCCCCGGCTTGAGTCACACCAACGCCCCTACCTCTGGCAGATAATCTCGACAACCAGAGGGTTACCCCCATAGGGAAGCACTTGGGGATTATACATTGGAGGGTAGGGATGCAACCGAGGTATCTAGTTGGAATGAAGAAGAGATGCAGTCTAACCATTGCCAATTTGTCATCTTAACCCCATATCTAGTAACTGTCGTCCATAGAGGATACTCTGCCACCCCCAGGATGGGCGAGAGTAGGCCTTGGCTTGGAGAAAGGTCTCAGTCGGAATATATTTTCCTTTGTAAACCTGGGCTAAAAGAGACTGGGTTCATTAAGGATACGTCATCCGATTTTGGCTAATAACGCTTTATTAAAATGCTCAAATCAGCAAAATCCCATACCCCCATCATGTTAGCTCCTACACATATTATGCCAGGAAATCCACCGAATCCTCGACTGACCTTCTTCCACACTCCACCAGAAGCGGCAACGCTAAGGCGATGGATTTGATCAAGGTTTCCTTAGCAGCCCATGATAACGTCCTCTGCTTCCAACCCTGTAATCTCTCTAGCAATTTTTCCTCCAAATAGCGAAAGGTAGCCATTTTTGAACGGGCAATCAGAGTAGGTAACTCCAGATATTTATCATGGACCCCTACCGCCTCAACTCCCAGAATATGAGCCAAGAACTCTTGGTCTGGTAGGGCAACATTCTTGCTAAAACATACTGCCGATTTCGCTAAATTCACCCTCTGGCCACTCAGCTCCTCATACTCATTTAACAATTCGATCAAATTCTCACAGTCCTGGAGAGAACCTCGAAGAAATAAATAAGAATCATCCGCAAAAAACATATGAGAAATACGAGGAGTGCGAGGGGCTACTTTCACCCTTCCAGTTTCCCGACCTCTATTGCTTTTCTTAGAACAACCGCAAATCCTTCCGTACAGATCACGAACATAAGAGGAGAGAGGGGGTCCCCTTGTCGGAGTCCCCTTATCGGGGTCCCCTCGAAGGAGTGCCATTCATGAGGACTGAAAACAATGTTGATTGGAGGCATTCATGTATCCATCCTCTCCAGACAAAGTTAAAGCCCATTTTCTCACCGCTAGCAGAAAAGGTCATTCGACTCTGTCATAGGCCTTTTCCATGTCAACCTTTAGATCAATGTACCCTTTCTTACCGCGTGTTTTGATTTTCAAATAATGCATGAACTCGTGACCAATGAGAATATTATCAACGATTTGCCTCTCACGGATGAAAGCATTTTGTCTTTATGAGACAATCTGACGTAAGAGGCCAGCAAGCCTTTCAGCCATGATTTTAGTAAAGATCTTGCAAACAAACTGGCATAGGCTGATTGGTTGAAGTTGCCGCATAGTGTCAACATTATCCACCTTGGGTATTAAGGTCATCCAGGTATGATTAAAGCTCCGGAGCATTCTACTAGTTGTGAAGAATGAGTAGAAAACTTCAATTACCGAGTTGCCAACAATGTCCCAGAAGGATTTAAAAAAATTCAGTGAACCCATCAGATCTCGGAGCCTGTTTCGATCCAATTGAGAAGACCGTTTTCCGCACTTCGTTAGGAAGAACCTCTGTCGTAAGAATGCCATTCATTTCCGGGGTAACATATGAGCAATGGGAAGAGCAGTCACACGTTCATCCATGTTGAGCACTTGGTTCTCAGAGGTGAAGAGATTCTGCATACTGGTAATGTCTGCCTTCCCATTCTCCTCAGTGATCCACTCTCCATTATCATTCCGCAGGCCGGACACAAAACTCTGTTTTCTACGAGCCCGCGTGACCGTATGGAAATACGAAGTATTTTTATCACCCTTTTTTAGCCACCGGACCCGAGACTTTGTTATTAAGCTCCATTTCTATGATCCGCACTTCGTCCCAGTTACTGGGGTGAAAAGTTTTAATCCGATCAATTTCAGCTTGTAGAGTTTTAATATTGCGGAGAGAGTTTGTGGTACCCACCCTACTCCAATCATAGAGCAAATGTCTAAGCTTCTTAAGTTTTTCCCATAGTTGGAACATCGGAGTACCTTGGATGGATCCCTGCCACACATAATTCACCATAGCCCCGACTTCAGGGTTCGACGCCCAACGAGCATCAAACCGAAAAAGGGGATGACTGTTTCGTACAAAGGGCTTATCTGATAAGAGCAGGGCCCGGTGATCGGACCCTTGATCCGTGAAATGCTTTACAAGTGTATCCGGGAATCGATCAACCCATAGTTGAGAGCAAATAGCTATGTCTAGTCTTACCCGAATACACGCAGTCCCCATACTTTTGTTTGTCCAAGTGAATTGGTCACCTTGGAAACCAGGGTCATAGAGACCAAGATCCTGAATAAACTCATGTAGGCTAACTGCCTGAGTAGCGTTCCACAGATTTCCACCATTATATTCACTCTCATGCAGAGTAGTGTTTAAGTCACCTATTACCACGAACGGGAGATGAATTGCGTCACAGACTTCCCGAAGTTGAGCCAATTGAGTGGCTCTTATTGCAGTATTGCAACTAATGTAAACACAAAGCACAATGTAAGAAAAATCCACTTCACTAATTTGGGCACAAATACATAAGTTGGAATGAAAAAATACCGAAACATCAACTTCGAGGGACCAAGCAAAAACAAGACCACCAGATGCATCAATACCATCGACAAAGAAACTGTGCGAAGACTCAAAACCTAACCCCCTAAAACAACGGGAAACTGTTCTCCGACGCGCTCTTGTCTCTGAAAAGAAGACAAGGTCCGGTTTATTCGACTTAACTAAACCAACAACAGTTTGGAATGTAAGGGAGGGTCCAATTCCTCTTACATTCCAAGCAAGTAGCCTCATTTATCTTCCTGGAACCATTTTAGGCTGGTTTCCTCCACCTAATGAGAATTCTCCTTGTCTTCCACAAACTGTTTTTTCTGGGTAGGGGGTTCACATAGGTCGCCATCCATTTCCTTGAACGATTGCTTCCTCTCTCCAATTTTTGGATCGCCATAATTAGTTCCATACTCATTCAGACCAACCAAGCCTTCCTCTGTAACGTGAGCAAGCTCAGTCTCATGCAAAAGACCATCCAACTCCGTCCCAGCATCATGTTGGGGAGAGCGAGCTTCCTTGTGTAGACTCATCCCTGCTTCGAAGGCTTTCACCATTTGCTGGACACGGCCATAATTAGCCTGATTGGTATGGATCGTGGCTTTGGATTTTCTACTTCCCAGGTCAAAGTGTTGGACCTCTACATCCGGGCTAGTTTCCACCGAATCTGCCTGAACGAATTCATCCGGCTGCGGGTTGAGCCTAGCTCTAACCGGGGAGGGAATAATGTCCTGAGAATCACCAACTGGGACCTCCACCCAAGTTCCATTGACCAGATTGTTTGAAACAGGCTTCGACTTCCCCCGATTACCATTTTCTTTCTTCTGCAACCTTCTCCTGCCCATTTTCATCTCCGTAGTCACTCGTGGCACAGCCTGCCGCCGAGTACTTGTAGTAGGAGGACGAGCAGCAGCCTGTAGAGGAGTTGCGTGCTTAGCCCTGCTTGCAAGCGGAGCCCTAGGACGCCGATCGAGGTCTTCATCCTCCACCATAGTTCCTTCGAATCTACCATGCACGGGTGCAACCAAGGGCGGAGCATCCTTCTTCGACTAGGCTTCCAAGAGCAGTCTCCTCCTCCGCGTCTGCTCATAAACAGAAGTACAATAGGTACGTGCAAGTTGTTCGGGTTACATATTGGTAATGTTAGAGTTTGTCAAATTGCGGATCAATTGAATTACGACTCAATTGATTATGAATTGTTTACTTTTAGTCAAATCAAATTACTTGCAAGGCATTCATGATGAATGAATTGTTGACTTTTAGTTGAATCAAGTTACATGCAAGTCGTTGATCAGTTGAATTACTCAAGTCTAATTATATTTTGACAGCTCTAGCTCCGAATGGGATCCGCATTTCGGTCCTGCCTCTCAATCATGTCAGTAGTATTACCTAATTGGAGCACTACACCACCTCTGCATTATTAACCAAATGCGTTTTCATCCTGTAACAGACAAAAGGGGACAAATTCTCCATTCTGTGCTTGAAGAGAAAATCTGCTCTCCACAACTCTCCTCCTTTGCCCGCTTTTCATACATTTTCCGAAAGACCTCAACTTCATACCACTACTTGTCCTACCTCGCTCCTCAAAACTAATGAACAAAAAATCAATTTCCCAGTAATTACATATACTGCACATCTCCTAATGTTATTTTCCGCCTCATAGGAAACCATTCCCCATGTAGTCCTCTTCCCCACTACTGAACGATTCCAATACTTGGCTGTCATCGTCGTCGTCCTCATCGCCTTCCGTCACAATCTCCAGAATCCCACCGCCTCCATCAAAGTCCACATCATCCATCATGAAGTCACCGTCATCCTCGTCATCGTCCAAGTCACTCCCGCTGTCATCGTCATCATTCGACAAGTCATCTGCATCACTGTCACCATCTCCATCCAGGCTGGGCCCTAGGATGGGGTCAACATCTTCATCGTCATCCTCGTCGTCCTCGTCTTCCTCACTTTCAGCATCATCCGGATCAGAGTCGTCATCAGTCGGCCTCCGCCGGCCAATTTCATAAACTCGAGCCGAAGAGAACATCTCCTCTTGGTCATCCATGGTGATCAACCCAACGAAAGAATCTGTAGGGTCCGATGTAAAATCCAGAACGCAACGATCCACTGGCACAGTTGCTATCTCCGAGTAATTAACAGCATCCAAAGTCCTGAAAGCTGCAAACAGAGGGTGCTTCACACGACGGGTGTGCACTGCCGCCATGACATCGTCCAGGTTTCTCCTTAAGATTGCATATATCACATCTCCTCGTGCGTTGAAGCTTATAGTGGTTTGGTCCAATGATGGTACGCTCCGAAGAAGCCGGAACTTCCTCAGATCCCATACCTCTGAGTTTATAATCACCTGTCACAATGTCAACCAAGTTTATGACTCAAAACGCAAACAGATGCAAATTTAAAAGGCTGGATTTCAGAACCATAAAGATACGGATACCTCATTGCCCGCAGGATGAAAACCGCCACCACCATAATCAGTGAACTGATCGAAGCGATGAACAGGACCAGATTGCCGGCGATCCCACAAGACACCGTTCCAAAGGAGCATTGTATCTGAAGGGCTGAAGTGTATATGTGAGTACACGTGGCCCCTGCCATTAGAACTCGAATTCGTATCTGACAGGGTGGAATCCACTAGACGGGTCTGGACATCATAGATAAGAATCTCTCTTCGAGCGGCATCTGTTGTCAAGGCTGCAAAAATGTTACCAGAATTGCTGAACCTCGCAGCTTTGAGCCCTTCCAACGTATGCATGGGACCCGCGGAGATGGAAGAAGCATCCCAGAGAGACACATCCTGAGAAGTTGAAGACAGTATCAACTGAGTACCGCCGGAGAGATGTGACTGAACAAGATTCAAAGGAGCCTGATGGACTGCATAACTCTCCACCACATTGCTGCTGTTGGCGTCGAAGATTTTAAGCTCCCCAGCATGAGTACCAACCACGAGGGAAGAGTCGCCTAGGAATGTGGTACATGTTAGGAGGGCACCAGCATCATCCCTGCAAGTTCTCCACGGTCTGAACCTGTTGTACACAAATTGCCGGTCCTTGCGGTTTCCATGGACCCCACCATATACACTTCTGAACTCACGCGTACCAATCCTGGCTGTAATGTTTGACGGTGCATCAAGGCATCTTTTGGGTTCCGGGCAGACATGAGGGTGAAGCAAAGAGAGTGGTGGAAGAGTTGTTATAGGAGCTGGGCACTGCCGATGTTGGTGCTTCAGATACTGGACAACAATTGAGTCCAGAGTTAACCGTTCCGGTTGACCCGAGGTAACATATTGACCTTCATCTAAGCAATCCATAGCACTGAGTGGTGTTGACCTAGCATGCGAGTCCCTCAAATTAGAGAAAGGTGTAATGGAAAAGCCCACATCACCAATCGTGCTGAACTTCCGACCAGTATTCGGAGTTAAGCAAACTGGCGAACGGAGAATACCATAGTCACCAGTGTTGAGCCGCTTCGACGATGAGGGCAGCGGGAGATCCTTTACATCTGATGACTTGCGTTTCATCGGGAGAAGAATCGGAGTCTTGAATACAGAATCTTTGTCAATGTTAATCTCCGGCAAAGATTCGGACAGTGCTCCTTTTTCCACAATATCTGTAGGTGCAGGATGTTGCTTCAAAGAACTGAATGACCTCTTGGATGATGGATGATTAGAATCCATGGCTTGGGGTTGACTTCTTGATAGTGATCCAAAGGATGGTGAAAACAGAAGCTGCTTCTTTTTTGAAGACATGGACGCCGATTCACATTTGATGCATTGATCTTCATTCCGCACAGTTGGTTTCGAATTTTCAGACAAAAAGCCACTGGGTGCTCGTCCCGATGGCCACTCAATCTGCAGAAAAGGAGACTCTTGTATAGGGGCTTGCAGTGCGAGGGATGATGGAGCTGACAAAGATGGCAAAGGTGTCAAATGAGCTTCTTTCAATAGCGTAGCCGCAGCTGTGGCCAAACCAGATGCCTGTAGATGTTCATGAATGAGGAGCAGCAATTCCCTAGTTTTGGGTGGCCCAGACAAGAACAAAAGAAGAAACGAGTGAGCTTCATAAAAAATGAATGAAATTTTATAGCCACTCTGCGGTAAAAGATGCAACAATAACCTGGAGTGATAAGTGATAGGAGTAGCTGCAGCTATTGCAGCTCTTTCAATGCGCCTCAGAGTAGGAGTCGCAGCATCAGTAGCAGCTAGTGTGCTTGCACGCCCAGAATTTGTTACAATCTGCAATATATTAAAGGGGTACATTAATATCATTAAAAATCAGGAGGTTATTTCTTACAAAAATTAGATGAATGGATTGCACAGGAAAAGTAAAATGCGTGGTGTTACTTCTAAAAACAAAGAGTAAAGGAAGGTTACCCCAATCAGCTCAATAGCCACCTGGGCCAATTCAGCTTGCCACCTGCCTTGTTCATTTCCAGGTGTTTGACCACCTGAATCCCGTATTAATTCCGATAGCTTTTTACCAACCTGAAATAAAAAGACATACACTTAGCTTTACAAATCCGCCAGGTCTGCAGTTCTGCTGTTCTGGTACTATACTCATCCTAGTAGACAACCAATGTATTCTTGAACAAATTGATCATAGTTCCTATTCCAATATCACACATTCCGAGCAAATACACTTACAGACCCACAAGCCAAAGAAGTCTCAGATCACAACTCTTTGTTCACAAGTCTATCCATGTATTTTCCATCTATTCTAATATGCATTATATCCAAGCAACTTCATCACTAAACAAACGCAGCATTACCTGGAGTTTGGTCAATATGTGTGCGATTGTATCATCTCTTGCTAAGCCAAGCATAACCCGGCAAACAAGGGCACGTACACAATCAAGGGCAGCAGGAGGAGTATATATCCTTGGCTGGAGGAGATGCAGAAGCACCTTAATACCATTGTTGGCACGTACAGCCTCTCTAGCCAGCCGATACCCCTGCTCCATCTGCGCAGCAAGCCCTGCACAACCTGCTCCAGATCCTAAAGATATCCTTCTATCACCAACCAGTCCAGATGCCGTTGTAGGAACAGATGCTTGCATAGCACTTCCAATGGAGCGGCCCGCTCTATCAGCTGCACTCGACTCACCATTCCTCTCCCTTTGATCACCCTGGCTGGGGATGCTAAGAGATCGATCTTGAATATTACGCTCTGTATTTGAGGGTCTATTGCTAATTGAAGGAGGTGGACAAACAAGGTTTATCAGCACATTCAATGCTGGTTGTATAATCTGTAAACAAACAGCAAATGGGTAGTTAGAAATTCCTTCCTAGCTATACTCTCTGGAAGCTGGCATCATTTAACAAAGACGTTAACAATATCAACTGAAGGGCAGAAGACGACTAAGGCCAGGGATATCAATACCTCAGGATCTACATAATTACCAGCAATATTTGCTGCATCCAGAATAACAGCTATGCCAACACGGCTATTGCTTAAGGTAGCATTTACTATCATCTTGCGGCCATCATTAACCAATGTCACAATGTGAAGGACACCCAAAGCATACTGAAGCAAGTCATGCAAATACCGCTCAACTGGCGGAGCCTGCAATCATTAGGTGACGTAAATAAATAAAAAGGAAGTCTGCAGTTCAAAATGGAATCTAATAATATGAAGAATTATTATGTCCAACCTGACACAATTCCAGCATAGTAATATGCCCATTAAATCCTAGGAACTTGTCTACAGCAGGAAAACGAGTTCTTGCAAATGCAGGTCCCAACTTGCGATCCTTCTGTAATTGCAAGAAGACAGCATCCATAGCCTCATTACTCAAGTCAAGAGGCTTGTATGCAGCCCTTACACTTGGTAGGTTCCTAGCCAAACTTCGGCTGTTTTTGTTCGGGCGAACTGAATCCACCAGCATAAGAAAATGTGCTCTGAAATATTGGCGTAATGCAACACAAGTGTGATAGGCTATCTGCTTCTCAGATGATGTTAGGACTTCTGCTGGGGATCGAAGGGCAGCAGAACCAGTGAGGTTTAGTGAACCTGAATTGCCACCAGATCTAACTGAGGCAGCTTCATTTAAAAGACTAAGTGACTTCTGCAAGCCATCCTGAGCATCAAACGCGTCGATCACAGCTCTAAATACAAAGGCAGCACCAAAAAACAAGGCTGCATTTTTCCTGGCTTGTTCTTGAGAGCACTCCAGAAGTTGAATGGCTAATTCAACCACCTGGTAGACAACATCTGATGGAAGAGCACAGACACGCTCCATTATTACCTGCAAAACAAATTCTAGAAAATTATAATTAACCCTAGATCCAATAATCTTAATAATTCTATTGTAACATATGGTTTGTGTGCGGGGAACCCAGCAGAAGACAGATACAGTTACCTGAAGAGAGCCTATGGTAAATAAGCACGAAGAAAGACCGAAGTAGGTGTGCTCAACTCGTGGCAGAGAAAGCAGTTTCTGCATCCCTCCCCTATCGACAAATAAGGCAGCAAACTTCCTGTGAGCAGCCAGTGCACATATAAGCTTCATGACATCAGGCAATAGCGACGTAGCCTTGGATGTTTCCTTATTTTTTGAACTGCATTGCAACAATGACAGGCAGACATCTACACCCTTCTCAAGCAAGACAGGCCCAAGAACTTCAACATATTCCCCTAATATCTCCAGGCACTGAATGCAGTATTTTTCCCTCAATTGTGCTAGGGACTCAATATCAGGAATGAAATACTCTTCAGTTTCCTCATTTACATCTCTCTCCACACTAGCAGGCTCCACAGAATCATTGGTAGCACTGCTGGTGCTCCTGTCACCGAGCAAGTAAGAAGGATTGATAAATATTTTGTCAACAGAGAGGAACAAAACATCATTAAGACAGTCGACTTGCCTAGAAATTTCCACTGCAGTAGCCGCATCAACCACCGTGGAAGCAGCACGAGAAGCAGCCAAAAGTGCAGTTTCTTCATTGTTGCTAGACTTATATTCCTGCGCAAGGAGCTCCTAAAAGTTATAACTTTGCAGAAATAATTTTTTATTAAAAAAACAGAAGAAATAGCCAATGGTTAGCACCTCGAAAGCAGCACTCTTGACAACTTCGGCCGCAGCATCACCAGCTGCTTTAATGGCTCCTGATGGTGCATTTGCAGTTCTGGCCTCAGCTTCAGCAGCTTGCACAGCTTTTCTTACCAAATCAGATATGTCTTTTGTTCCAACCAAACATTCCCTGAAGCAGTCATCATTTTCCTCCCTTTCCAAGGAAAATCCATCAGCATTCATGCTTCCTGGGAGCTTCCTTCCTTCTGATCCCTTTCTCCCATCCAAAATTTTCACCACGCTCCTATCCCTAACATTCCGCCCAAGTCCAGAACGGCTATTAGAACATGGAGATGTCAAACCTTGCTCGATTTCTAGAGCCCCTTCATTTGCTCTTCCCTTCCCCCTCGGTCTTGATAAACCGCGGGCTGCCCTTCGCCTCAATGAATCATCTCTTCCACACTCATCCAAGTCCCCAGCTCTATTCTTTCCTTCATGGGGATCTTTAACATGCAACCTCCCCCCACCGTTAACATCAACCTCCTGAATATCAATTCCTTCATCTGATATATAAGGCAATTCTCCAACATCGCCAAGTCCTTCTCTCAATTGTTGGGTAACAGTGCTTCTATCATTATTTCCATCAACACTTTGATCTTCTAGAGAACTCTCATCTATCGCCTTCACATTATCATGAGTAGCTTCAAGAACCTGTCGTACTCTGCCTCTGTTACCTGTGGCAGAAGTTGCATTTTTCCCTTCTATCAAGTGGCTACTATCCTTCTGGCTTGTACTACTTTCCCCAAGGATTCGATTTCGAAGAAAGCACATTAGCTTTCTAGACAAACCAGAAGTTAGCACATCTTCAACGACCTGACCACCACTGTTTAGAAACCAGAGAGATGCAATTTAGTCATCAGATAACCAACATAAATTATTATGCAATCTGAAGATACGTAGTTATACCGAAGAAGCATACCCGGCCAAACATACAGCAAGAAGCCCAGTAGAATAGGCCTTCAACATTTCAGAATCTGACGCCTCCCTCTTCACTGCGTCAGCCTTACAACTGCGATCTTCCCCCGGAAATCTTACAGTCTCATCCATCACCCAGGCCTTTACATTCTCCATAACGGGTTCATCAAAAATATGAGGATACTGTAACAAAATGGAAGTTCAATAAGCAACCAATTGTGTCACAAAATGGAATGACGAACTGAAGACCAGACTTTAAATAAAGAGATCGAGGGGCATGAAAGTAGAGCAACATACAATCCAAGTCAGCGAGCAGGCCATAACAAGCCTTGCGGCAGCTGCCTGGACAGCTGTTGAATATCTGGTTTCAGCAAGAATCTTAGAAGACACCAATTCGAAAAATTCATCATTGTCCTGCGAAAGAAGTCAGGTAAAACATCAGCTCAAACAAGTTCAGGAAACAAATTGATCAACTCAAAACTGCAAGTAGACCATATGCCCTGACGTGCAACAAAAGGTAGAAGCATGGAATTACAGACTTTTTCATGATGAAAAAATGAACATACTTGGAATCTAGTGAAATATGAAATCTTCAAAATAGTTACCCGGACTAAGTTTCCTAGACGTCCAATATTATGGGAAGCACGAGTAGTATTAGCACAAGAATGGCCATTTTCTTCCACATATCTGCACATAATACAACATGTCGAGTTAAAAATGAGTAAAATTCAAGCAAAGGAAGAAGATAGATTACAGCAATCTTATTTTGACTCAATACATAATTGTAGGAACTGAAATTGCATCCTGTTCCGGAGATCGTCAGCACTATACTACCACCCCCGGATATGGGCGCCAACAAGCACACAAAAAAACCAAAAAAGTAACAGAATTCAGCCTCTGGAGCTCTCTTTCCCTCCAAACATACAAGCAGAAGAATCAATCGTCCCAAACATTAAATGATAGCAGAGTGATAAAAAAAACAGACAGGAAGGCGGACAGAAATTTTACAGAGATTCCTGAGTTTCAAGGAGAGACGCGAGAGCGTGAAGCACGGCTGGACTGGGGTTGTCAGGAACGGGAGTGATCTTGTCCATCAAGCTCTGCGCCTTGTCCATCAACTCGTCCTCCTCTTCCTTCTTCGTTTCCTCGTCATCGTCCTTGGTCCCTCCTCCTCCGTCACCGCCATCTTCGTCCCCACCACCTTGCGATTGAGACCTGGCCTGGCCGCCATCCCCCTGCTCCGAAGCAGGAGGAACTGAAGGCACGGACGCCGCCACCGCTGCCGGAGCAGCACTTGCTCCGTCGGGGCGGGGCGATTCGCCGTCCATTTTGATGGGTAATGCAAGGGAGAGGACGGTGGTTACGTGAGAACTTGGAGAAGCCTAGGGTTTGTTTTGTATCGTTGTTCTGCGCCCTTTTTCCCCAGTTCCTTTGCTCTGTCCGTTGATAGAGAGAGAGAATCAAGAAATTGGGGAGGAAAGGAAAATGAGGTTAGCGACGGGTGAGAGAAGGAGGAGAAAGGTGAACGGAAGAACTCAGGAGCATCCAGTTTCGGTGGTGTTTTATATTTTTGGGACGCCACTTCTTCTCTCCCACAGCCACGACTCGGATCTAAAATGTTCCCGATCGACCCGGCCCGCTTCCTCCTAACCCTACCCTGCCCGGTCCTGCCCGCCCCACTAACCCGTTCCCTTTTCCCCCGCCTTTCTTTCTTCAGTTGAACAGAGGCACTCTTTGTGGGTTAATTACTAAATAGATCACTAAGTTATGTGATCACCGACAAATCGGTTACCCGACTTTAGACTTTGACACACTTGACGGTAAAGTTTTTTCATAACTAACAAAACAGTCCCTTTGTTTAACAGCATATGGGTATCAACCCAACAATTCCCTGGGTTTGCTAATCCAAAACTGCATCAACCCAACAACATTAATAAGACCAAAGAAAAAATAGACTAACGATAAAATTGTCGCGATAATGAAGATTTGGAAATTATAGATCCCACGTTCGATCCAATCGAGACCCGTTGGTGTTTCCAGAGATATGAGACTGTTGGAGGGGAAGCCATGTTGGCATCGAATTGATTGCAGGTGACCCCTAGGTTTAGTAGGCTCCACTATCACAAAGTGGCATGTGCGGCTGAGGTTGCTAGGTAATAAAAAAAACAACATTAATGGATGACAATAAGTAAAACTTTACTCATCCAAATATTTTCCAACCCTTTGGTTTTATATGTGGGTCGGGTCGGATTGACGGGTCGGACCAATTTTCGGATGGCTATGTCCATCCCTAGTCTAGTGTTTCATCTAAAAGATTTTAAGTTTGATCAATCAATGGGTTGTTTTATCCCTACGAAAGCTTTTATAGAAGTATTTTCAAAAAGAAAACAGTTGAGTGTATGGCTAATAGCCTAATAAGTTATTATAAGTACTTTTTAATATAAAATATAATATAAAATATTAATAGGATTTCTAAAATAAAATGTGTATAAAAATCTAGTTAAAATGATTTTTTGAATTTATTTTACATTAAATTATATTATTTCTAACTTTAAATATAATATAAATAAAATTATATTTTTCGAAACAAATTAAAATATAATAATACAATATTATATTTTAAAAACACCTTTTTAGACACTCCAAATCGGAACTTCAAGTTTTATGTTATTAAAAGCACCTTTCAACTTTTTCAAAAACTAAACGTGTTTGGCATCACTTCAATTTTGAAGTAAAAAGGTACTTCTAAACATCAGACAAAATTTTCAACAAAAATAAATCAGACAAAATATAGACAATGAGACACTCAATCTAATTATAGCATAAAGGTTACATATACCTTTCATCATAAATTTGGTTGGAGGAGAAAATATTAGGGTGGTTTCCGAAGAGTGGAATTAAATCGAGAAATAGGGTTGGTTTGGTTTGGATTTGTAATGAGTTAAAATTGGTCAATTGATGTCAACTTAAGGCGACTATCAGAAGAATTCAATCATTAGAGCAGCAAAACCGGCAAATCTAAGTGGGATACAACTTCACCAGCAAAGGAGTTTCATCTACTGTTTCTTTTCATGTTCCATGTCTTGTTGTGTTTAACGTCTTGGTTCTTATTTACTTAAATTAGGCAACATCATTCGACATCCGCATCAACAGGACCCTTTGGATTTTGAAGAGACATCGAGCTTTACATCGAGTTCTCCTTCAAGCCGAAACTAGAGACTATCAATTCGAAGCAGAAGTCACCACCATGGCCGAAGGAAAACGATCACCTCAAGTGCAGGCTGAAAGGATTAGAAGGTACTACCTTACCCCCAAAAAGTCGAAGATATATGGTCAAGCATCCTACATCCGCCCATTTTTTATAATAACTTACAGATGAAGACCAACATGATCTAGATGATTCAGAGTTTCATCCAGTTCCACGACATGAAGAATAAGGAACCTCATGAGCACATTCAGCGAATCCTGGAGCTGGCAGATGGAATAAAGATGAACAACATACCTTAAGATGCGCTTCAATTATGACTCTTCCCGTTTCCCCTGGGTGATCTGGCCAAACAGTGGCTCACAAACCAACCACGTACTTTTAAGCCACCACGTTATAAGAACACGTAAACTTCATGGAAAATTCTTGAGATGTGAATCACTATGGGAATACATACAATCCAAGGTGGCAGAGTCACCCAAACTTTGTTTGGTCTTCACCATCAAACCCCAAGCCATCTAGTATCCAAGCTCTAGCACTAGGATTTCAGCAGGGACCACCTCACCAACAATATTAGTTTACCTGAGGCATTCTAACCCACCTCTTAACAAGTTTTCTAAACTGAAGGAGATTATGACCCAGGTTGTTGCACCATCACATAGAGATTTGGTGTTATTAACAAGTTTGACTATGGAGAAATGTATCACCATCAAGTCTGGTCTCAGGAATCATCAGGATTCTCTACAAAATCTAGAAGCTCATATGGGCACCATCGCCCTAATTGTTATTAATAGACCTCAAGGCATGCTCTTGGGTCATACCATTCCTAGTCCTAAGGATCGAGAGCAAATTTGAAGGTTATCACTCTAAAGAGTAGGTGAGAGACCAGAGACATCCCTACACCTTAGTCATAAGATGAAGAATAACTCCCTCCACCCAAGCCTGCAACAACTAAAGAAAAGGAGGATGAGGTACATACTCACAAGTCGAAGCCAAAATACGTGCCTCGGCTCCCATTTCACACACGCATGAACAAGGATAGGGTTGAGGTGGAGTTCACCAAATTCATGATGATGTTGAAGCTAATTCATACCAATATCCCATTCGTTGAGGTGATGTCGCAGACGCCCAAGTGTGCCAAATTCCTCAAGGACGTCTTCACCAATTAAAATAAGCTTGGGGACCTCTCCACCGTGATGCAGAATAAATAGTGCACATCCATTATGTAGAACAAACTTCCTAAGAAGTGAAAGGACCCATGAAGTTTCACAATCCCTCGTCTTATTGATTTTTTGCATGAAGAGAAATCCTTAGCGCACCTAGGAGCCATTATAAATGTTACTCCATATAAAATGTTTAAAAATCTAAGCCTAGGTGAACCGAAAACCACTAGGATGAGTATACAACTTGCTGATTATTCCATTGTGCATCTTAGGGGAATAGTGAAAGACCTATTTGTTAATGTCAAAAAATTAATATATCATGATGATCTTGTAGAGATAGATGTTAATAAGGAAGTAGATGTGACCCTTATTCTAGATAGAACCTTCCTAGAAACCGACAAGGCACTAACTGATGGGAAATTGACTTTTTAGGGATGGAGATGAACAAATTGCATTTGCCATTATTGATAAAATGAAGCATTCTCTTCTGCATGATGAATTGGATTATTTTGATATGGTTTCTGAGTTTGAGACAACACTCGTCATCATGAGTGATGGTACTAATGATCCCCTTGATCATTGTTTGTTGTTAGGTCAGCATGCATCTTACTAGTCGTACCTTTTGGAGAAGCTCGCGACATTGGACGTGGAGGCTATATATGAGTAGGAACCACCAATGGATCCAGTCTCACTATCAGATCGGATCATTGCCTCCCTAGAGGAACCACTAGATCTGGAGCTTAAGCCCCTTCCTAATCACCTTGCATATGTTTTTTCGGGAGGGCTCGATGCTCTCTATCATCATTAGCCCATCTCTTACACCTAAGCAGAAGACTAGACTGGTGGACTTGTTGAAGAAGCACGAGAAGGACTGGCTTAAAAGGTTACTGATATCCAGGGTAGTAACCCCTCATTATTATCTCACAATATTCTTATGGAGTATGAGATCAATCTAGTGGTGCAACGTTAGAGGCGGCACAACCCTCACATGAATGAGGTGGTGAAGGCTGGATGTCGGGGTTATCTATCTGATCTCGCATAGTGAGTGGGTCAGTTCGACTCAAGTTGTACCAAAGAAAGGAGGCATGACTTTCTTGCCTAATGATAAGAACGAGTTGATCCCCATACGCACAGTGACTAGATGGAGATTGTGCATCGACTACCATATGTTGAACGATGCCACCAAGAAGGATCACTTCACCTTGCTCTTCATTGATCAGATGCCTGAGAGGCTTGTTGGTCATGAGTTTTATTGTTTACTAGAAGGTATGTCGGGTTATTTTCAAATCCCCATAGCTATAGAAGATTAGGAAAAGGTTTCATAGGAACTAGATGATCCAATTTGGTAACACCTTCACTTGTCCATTTGGCACCTTTTCCTACCGACGCATTTCTTTTGGGTTGTGCAACGCCTCTGCCACTTTCCAGAGATGCATGGTGTCAATCTATGATAAGCTAGTGGGAGATATCATGAAAGTCTTCATGGATGACTTCCCTGTGTTTGGTGACTCCTTCTCCCACTATCTTCAGAATTTGGTGCGAGTATTATAGATATGTGAAGAGATGAATCTTATAGTGAGTTGGGAGAAGTATCATTTCTTGTTTCGAGAAGGTATAGTGCTTGGGCACAAGATATAAAAGAAGGGAATTGAGGTGGGTCGTGCAAAGTTTGAGACTATTTGCAAGTTGTCTCCTCCTTCCTCCGTCAAGGCATGTAGAGCTTCCTTGGGCATGTAGTTATTTAAGGAAATTTATCAAGGATTTCCCCAAGATCGTCCTGCCTCTCACGAAGCTACTGGAGAATAATACATTGTTCGACTTTACTGTAGAATGTCTAGCGGCCTTTGAGTTCCTCAAGGACAAGCTCACACATATGTTTATCATCTATGAAATTTTTTATGTTTGGGGCATCTATTTCATGGGTCTTTTCCCTCCTTAATTTGATCACAAGTACAATCTAATTGTTGTTGACTAGCCCACCAATGATGATAGACATTTTTGTCAATTTGTGAAACAACTCCTCTCGAGGTTTGGGACACCGAGAGCAATCATAAGCGAAAGCACCACCCATTTTGAGACAATATGATAAGATGACAAACCATCTTCAAAATGAGTGGTCAAGATGAGCTGATAAACTAGGATTTGAATCAAATCATGGAAAAGA